TACTGTTCTCGATTCGATAATGAAACTTTAGGAAAATGTGTAATACACGAATCCAAGAAAATTTGAACTGAATTTATATTCTCTTGATGAGTCTAATCGTGCAGTTTACTCTCCTTTCTTAGACACATTCGAAATCGAACAGTTTGACTCTCCAATCAGACAAAACTACGTACGAGCTCTTCCTTATAATTAGTTACTTACGCTTAGCAAACAGGAAACGCTCAAGATTAACGCGGATTATTCACTTTTTTTCTCCTAAAGTTCGGATGTTAAAAGCATAATCGTTTGGTTATTCATCTTATAGTGAGCAACTTGGTCTAAATGACTGTGAATATTTATGAATTACTGACTAAGCGGGAGGTCATGGTGGCTGGACATTGACCGAGTTCCCTTTTTGCGTTTTTATGGACCGAGACGAGGTCGAGGTCGATAAAAACGCAAAAATAGACCAAAGAGTCTTGATCAATCAAGGATTTACTATATAGCAAAAAGATTTCGCTTTATTAAGAATCAGGGATGGCTTGTTTACTTGGAGAGCCGGGGAGGAAAGCCAACTGTGTTTGTAACGCGATAAATCCTGACGAGAGTCGTTTATGTTTTCCTTGTTTTGATTGTCCGCTGCCACTTTTTGCAACTCCATCACCGAAATTGTCCAATAACGAACTCTGTAAGTCAAAGCGGGCAATCCCGAGCAGGCAAGATGGGCTCATCTTGCCCGTTGAGGCAGCCAATCAAAACACAGAATTCATTTCAAGTATTGCCCACGGTCACTTCCAGCGATATATGAGTATGTCTGTGAACTGCAGACTAACACATGAATACGAAAGTCAGGTGATATTCGCAGTAAAGCACGCTACTTGAGCAATAGTGAAAAGAAAGCCTGAAAAATTTCAGGCCTGTACGGGAGTTGAACCCATGTCCTCTGTGATACCGGTGCAGTACTTTACCAGTCACTCTACCAGCTGAACTAACTAGATTTAGCGGCGATAGGTTGATGAACTGAGTCGAATCTCACATTGAATACAAACACCACGACGTAGAGTTAAATGATGTTATTCTTTACTGTGGTCCAACACGTAAAAAGTGAAACAAGGATGCAATAACCAAACTGAAACTTAACTATAGCTTAATCGATTGAAGGCACGATAAGTAAAATCGCTAGCCGATCCGAATGATAAACATTATAAAAGAAGAAATAAGTATATCGCGGAATCAGTGAATATCGGCGACTGAACCCATGAATTAAGAGATAAAGGGAATTAAATGACAAACAACGTTAGAGTGATTACGATGAGTAATATAAAGGGCATACTTCTATCCCGATCTTGGGGCGAAAACGTGCACAAACAAAACAGAAACGATAAATCTACAAAAGTTTGGGTGCTATCGTTTGTAAAGGAGCACCTTCGAAATATGAAAGCACGAGGTCTGGTCTATGCTCACTGCGCCTGACTTGTAGTCTCCCTCGCAGCCGTTTTTAGTCTCGTCACGCAACGCTCCTCCCCACAAACGGCTGCTCACATTCGAACAACATTCCTTTCCGCTACTTCAACCAATCACTATTTGGGTTACATATGTTGAGAACTGTACGCGCCAAAGTAGTCTAACCAATCATATTGTTTGTTTCATCTTCGAGTTCAAAGCTTTGAAAATGGCGTCCTTTGAAGAAGCGTTTAATGTTGTTAGTAATACATTTCGAATTCCTAGTTTAAATGCGCAGCAAAAAACTGGAATTAGGAAAATAGTTGAGGAAAGAAAGGATGTATTTGTCAATCTTCCTACTGGTTTCGGGAAATCTCTCCTGTATGAAGCACTACCACTCGTGTTTGATCTTACCTCACAAGAGCCTGGTCATATCGTCGTCGTTTTCTCACCATTGGGGAAAGCCTTATGAACGACCAAGTGTCCCATTTGAGGGAGCTAGGGCTAAAAGCTGGTAACATAAGTTCACTTGAGGGTGGTAAACGCACTCGTGTCGAAAGCGGCGAATATTCCTTAGTTTACGGATCCCCTGAAGCGTGGTTAAGGAACGAACGCTGGAGATTTATGCTGACGAACTCTGTGTATTCCATGCCAAAAAACTCTGTGCCATTGCCGTCGATGAAGCGCATGTTGTAAGGCAGTGGTAAGTGTTTCAATAAAAACGAGTCTGCAGCAAAATGTTATTTTACATGTATGTTTTAAATTAAGCAGTATAAAGGAAAGGACAATAAGAATGTAAATATTGTAAATAGAAAATGTAAATAGTTTAGTCAGTATTAGTATTACACTGTGGTCTTATTTTGGTTATCGTTATTTTATTCTGTCTGTGTTATATTACACATGATCACCTGTAAAAATATTGTGTCTAAATACAAGACATTATCATCGCAGTATACACTTCTGAGTGCTTCAGATTACCAATAAAATTGATATTGGGTGCCATGGTGTAGCCTATTTGATTGTCACTACTACATAGATAAAAGCTAAACTTTTTAAAATTTTATACCCCTAGACCCTAAAAGGAAGTAAATGTCCCATCAACCTATTAAAACTATGCTTGAAACTAACGTCATTTAGGGAACTTAGTCTGACAGGACCTGTCCCGACACAAATAAAACCTAAAAGTTCTAAGATGGTAGACCCCTAGACCCTAAAATGGAGATAAATGTCCCATCAACCTATTAAAAACCTATGCTTGAAGCTAACGTCATTTGAAGAACTCAGTCCAATAGGACCTTGAAAGTCCTGGCAATGTTAAAGGAGCTAGAGACTACAGCTTTCTGCATGTTCCTTAGCACTGAATGACATTAGTATTATTATTATTAAATTATTAAAATTAATAAAGTTTTCATTATATTATTATTATTATTAGAAATTTCATTATAGATTAATGCTGTCTATTTTCCTTTTNCTAGAACTGACACATTTTTTTCTGATGGGAAGTTTTTAATTTTGAAAATAAAATGAAAAAAATCAGTACTTTGAGAAATTTTCTGTTATAAATATTGCTTCTTTCGTAAATGAAAAATAATTGTGTTCATTTTTCTCTGAGCAGGTTGATAATGAGTTGTTCCAATTACATCCAATTTTCTATAGCTAGCCTATTCCTTCAATATTCGATAAAATACATATCCTCTTGACTGTTCTTAATTTTAATATCTTACAATTTCCAATTTAAAGAAAACAATGGTGCTATTCTTGGAGTTCACATTCCCAATCAGCAGAGGAAAGACAGCACAGTTTTCTAAATTGAGATGTGGACATTTCTTGTAGACTGTTTTTTGTGGACCATAGATGGAAGTGAACTGAACTGGAGGTGATTTGTGATGTTCCTCCCCATCACCTTTCCCTTAATTAATAGCAAAGTCCAGATAAACTTCAATGTTGCGATAAGGAAGTGCAAAGAATAAAATAACGTTTGTATGGTGTAATAAATGAATTAACATCAAGTCATAATTTTGCAACTTCTTAAAGACACATTATGGATTGAGAAGCCAAAATGTTCACAACTAGAGACCTCCATCAGATTTTTTGTACATACTACCAAGTTCACAAGACAGACAATAGTCACCCATACTGGAAAGTCCCTGAGCTTATTTGAGTTTGTGTTGGTAGGTACCTTAATCATTGCTTAATTATAATAAATTGTACTTTTCCTTTGGAGCTCTTCAATATACAACACCAACATCAATAATAGTGGCCAAGAGGGACACACTAAAACATTTTTTGAGCTTCTGTTTCAATCCAGCCTTGAGGCTCACTCACACAGATCGATACAGAACTGCTTTACAATCTGCTTCACAATTTGCTTTACTGTCTTCAAAACAAAACATGAAACAATCTTTTATTAAAACTTGCTCAAGATGGCTACCAGTCACGTGAGATCATGTTATCGAGTTTAACACAATGAAGCTGTCCTTCTTCGCCTATAAGTTTCATTCACTCTTCTGTACTGAAACCACAGGCACCAACTGCAACTACCCCAACAGCACACGTGGGTGGGTTAAATCAATCACAAGATGAACACAGGGAATGACAACTTTCTCTTCACTGTACATTAATGAATTCTCAGAAATGGTAAAAAGTAAAAATACAATGCACTGATTTCACTTTGATATTTACCGTTATGTTAATTGGTGTCAACATAATGTAAGGCAAAGAATGAGTAGAGCAGGGCCAAGAAAATTCACAACCCAAATAAGTATGTTCTTAAAAAGAGCAAAATAGTTATTATTGAAAGTGCAAATTAAAATGAATAAAAAAGTTGTTTCATATATTCCTCAAAGCTTCATGCATACTTAATCAGGAAAAGCAGTGTGAACTGTAGGTTCAATCATGAATTCTTTGGAATTTCTGATCATACTGTCAACAAAAAATCAAATTTTATTTCTTGATATTTCAGGATTTGATTTCAATCTCAATTTTAGTACAATGTTCTATTGTCCTCATGTCATTCAGCATGAGAGGCACTTCATCAAGACAGGATGTACCATCATCAACTTGTATCTGAGATTGTAATAATACTCAGTTTCAGTTAAGATTAAGTATTTGGCTTTTTATGTTTCTATCTCATTTTGAAATAAAGTTATCTTGTGTTAACTTAATTTTTTTCTGTGAATGTGGCAATACCAAGATAACCACACAACATTCCACCCTGCTTTTCTAATCCTAACACACTATCC